TGACTTTCCGCTCTGCACAGGGCCTGTTGTTTAGGAGGAAGGGTCCCTGCTCTGCAGTCCTCAGCTCTGCATTAGAGAGGTGGGTTTTTGCTTTTTGCAAAACAGTTGCCACTCATTTTAAAACCATCCCCAGCAGGCTTTTTGGCACTTGGAAGCTTTCAGTAAACATGAAGTATTGTGTAACTGACAGACGCCCGAGCCCCTGGGCCTGCTGGCCGAGGTCCAGGCCTCCCGCACAGCCACCCAGGGTGACAGGCCTACCTTGGCCGCCTCCCTGCAGGAACTTGAACTTCCTGCTCTGTGCACTCGCTCCTCCCTCCCTCTCCTGGCCCTCCGGGGTCCACCACCTCAGCAAGTCCAGGGTGCACCTCTCTTCTTCTGAAACCCTCTGCGGTGTCCCACAAGCCACACGGCCCTTCCCCTAGCACATTAGCCAAGCACGTGCTGAGCTGCGTGAGTCCCAGCATGGGGCTGTGGTCAGCAGGAGAAACCAACAGGAGAGAGCCCGTTCCTCTCGCGGCCTGTGGCCTAGGGAGGGGCACATCAGGAAGCAGGGCCACGCGCCGCACTGGAAGAGGGGCCCCTTCCTCAGCGTGCTCTGAGCTGTCCATTCCAGAGGCCGAGCATGCCAAGCAGGGGAAATGCTAGAGGTCTTTCCATCAGCCCCAGGGACAGGACAGTGAGCCAGAGAGGGACCACAGAGGTCACCCAGTGGGGGCCAGGGTGAGAGGTGGGGAGCAGCTGAGAGGTGGGGAGCTAGAAGGGGCCCAGGAGCAGCACTGCTGGCTGGCAACCAAGAGCCCTGGACAGGTGTGAGCAGGAGACCACAGGCAGGTAGCCAGGGGCCAGGGCTGCAGGAGGGTGGGCGTAGAGGAGGAAGAGCGGGGGCTCAAACGGGAGGATCCCGATCAAAGTGTCTCAGTGTCTCAAATTGGCAAGAAAAGATTCAGAGGAGACACTCGGGGGTGGCTGTGGGCCTGAAGGCAGGCCAGCAACCCGCTGCAGGGGGCCGGGGGCAAGCAGGTCTCGCGCACCAGGGTCCCCGTGCTCGGGCTGTGCCAATAATAGGGTGTTCATGGGACCTGGGACAAAGAAGCCCCCCTCGAGGTCTCGCGGGAGTCCTGGAACACACGAGCCACGACGTGCACAGGGTTGTACGTTGCAGCGATTTCGTAAAAACAGTCTGTGAAGCAACCCAAGTGCACATCGTGGGTCAGTCTGTACACTGAGCTGCCCCTGGGATGGGCTGACATCAGCCACCGCAGGGATCCATGACAGCCGAGAGGGCCTGGAGAGATCTCAGCAGTGATGGGACTCAGGGGTGGCGTGGGCGGTACGTGGACAGTGCATGGACACCACATGGCCACTTTGTGGGTGGTGTGTGGACACCAGGTGGACGGGGCATGGGCCCTGGGAAGCAGGGCTCCTGCAGTCCTCCTGGTACAGACAGTTAGTTCCATTTCTCAGATGTGAAGATTCAGCGCCAGAGACACGGGAGGCGGGCAGAGGAAGCAAATTTATCTAAAGAACAATAACGGGCTTCCCGGGACGCAGAAGGGGCCGCAGCAGGTGTCCAGGGACGTGGGGGCTTCCTGACCCTTTTCTACAGCTTAGGTTGTCTTTGTCCTTCTGCCCTCTATCACCCGCCCTCATCCTTCTTACCTGCTCAGTGGCCGGAGTGAGCCAAAAGGTGAGGGCCAAATGGGCAGGGAGAGGACTGAGGGTGGAGTGACCCAGGCAGCAGGTAACAACCCAAGGTGTCACTTAACTGTCAGGACTCCCTGCAGGGAGGGGCCATTGGGGAGGCAGGTTACCTTAGCAACAGGTTGGGTGGGGGCAGCTTGTGACTTTCTTTCCAAGCAGCCCCACCTTCGCGATTGGATCTCGTTATCAATTATCTATATTGACGGTCTTTTGGGCCCCACCCCCGGCTCACTTACCCAGTGTGGCTGTGGGAAACTGGTGCAGACTCCGCCACACACACGCCCCACAGAGGGGCAGGAGCAGGGACAGGGCTGCCTGGAGGGTGACTGGAAGGCAGGGGAGGATCCTTGTCACTCGATACCTTGTGGTGTGTATTTAGAATTCGTCACCACACCATCTGCTCGTGAAATAAAGTGTTGCAATAACATGGGACAATGACTGGAAGATGGGAAGAACCCAGGGCCTTGGGGACACCGGTGAGGGACCAGGCCCTTAGCCTGGGGAGGGGACTGAGCGTGTGGACGTGGTGTGTAGACACGGTGCTAGGGCACGGGGGCCTCTGCATTGAACCTGACCAGGTGGCTCGTGGGGACAGGGCCTCTGCATTCCTTTTGGGGGGGCAGGGCCAGGTGTGGGCTGTGGTGCCTTCTGCTGTCCTCTGGGCACCAAGGAAAAGCTTAAAAGCAGGGGCAGGGCCTGGTCAGATCTGGCAGCAGCCTGAGGGTGATTTAGGAGGGGACTGGCCAAGTGGCTGGGGACCCAGAGGCCGGGAAGTGATGCCCCTGGAGGGTCATCAGCCTCTCTCCCTACAAAAGGAAGTCAGCACTCACCGCAAGGCCACCGAGCACACCTGTGGGGGTCTCCAGTGAGATCACAGCCGCTTGCGAGCCCCAGGGCTTGAGCTTGCAGCAACACGCCACAGACAGAGTCTCCTGATTTCAGTAAACTTGCACTGAAAGGCAACGCGCCCAACAGGAGGGTGTTGGCACCCGAGTTCACGGCTCGAGAGTTGTCACGGGGCGGACACCGTGTCTGATGGCTGGCCCTGCCCGAGTCTTCTCCTGGAGATCCTGGCCCTGCCCCTTTCTGCCCTGGTCACCTTTGGTCTGCCATGTGCACAGAGGCCCCAACTTCATATGCCATGGTCGTCTTGGTCCTTAGAGAAGTCCCTGGGGAGGTGTTTGATAATGGTTCTGTTTCATCATGGGTCATTTTAGATCTGTCTCTATTGCCAATGTCCTTTCACTGTTGGCTGTGCACACGACTGGGACAAGTAAAAGAACTGACTGCATCCTGCCCAGTGTCTGCCTGTGGCCAGGCTAGGAGTCTCACTTTTGTACCCACGCGCAGTAAAGTCGTCCTGAAGAGCGGAAAAGCACCCAGCCAGCGAAGGGCTCAGAGGGCACCTTCTTGTTGCGGGGTTCTCGCAGGTCTCCCCTAGTCCATTTTCTCTGTCTGTGTTTGGTGAAGAGTGGTCACTTGGAGCGCTGGACACATGGCCACCTGGCCACGTGCTTCACCATTGCCCTCTTGTTTTTTTGGACTCTTAATAATCAGGGCCCCAAATCTCTCCATTATCTCAATGACTGATCCCATTAATTGATGTCAGAATGTTTTGTTGACACTTCAGGAGAACGTGTGTGTGGATTAACCAGGACAGCAGGAGTGACAGAGTCAGAAGGCCGGGTACCTATTCATGGCCTTCCTAATGGCCTTTCTTTCATGAATTTTTCTTCCTCCACAGTTCTAAGAAGTGAAAGCTCTCGTACCTACACAATTATCGTGTGTCACGTAGACATTTTTAAATAGAGCTATGGCTCTGGCTGATAAGTAGAGTTCAGCGAGGACGTACCCAAGGCTGCAGGAGGAGACCAACATAGCGGACTAACTGCGCCCTGGACCGTGCTCACCCTGTTGGGACTCGGGAAACAGGGCCAGTCGCCCATGGGAGGTGGGTCAGGAGTGCCCAGCCAGGTGTGTGGGACTAGTGAGTTGCTGGTTTCCTCGCTCATAACTTTCTGCAGGGCAGGAGGCGCTTCCTCAAGGCGGGTACACGGCTTGCTCACCCGCTGAGGGGCAGGGAGTTGGTCCCAGTTTGGGGGGGTGTGCTTGGGTGACCCCGGGCTCATCCTCTGTACTGCACTGCTGTGTGACTGCAGGGTGTGCGTCTGCACTTCTTCTGGGTAAATACCTGAGTCTGAGGCTCTTGGGTCAAGGACAAACGTGCACCTAACTTAAAGAGGCTTCCCAAAGAGGCCGCAGGGTCACCTTGGCAGTGGCAGTGGTGGGATTTCCAGTTGCTCTGCAGCCTGGGCGGCACCGGGGGATTTTGCTATTTGTTTTGCTTTTCTTCTAAGGATAGCGGCATCTCACTGGGGTCCGAGTTTGCATTTTCCTAGTCACTCCTGAGGGTGGGCACCCTTTCCTGTGCGTATTTGACTTCTATATACCTTCTTGGGTGAAGTGCTCAAGTCTTATGCCTAACATCAAGTTTTAGAGTGGACTATTTGGGCTGTTATTTTTGAGTTTTGATAGTTCTTCATGCATTTTGGATGCAGGTCCTTCATCAGACATACGTGGTGCAAACATTCCATATAGGAGGCTTGTCTTTGCAATTTCTTAACCAGACATTTCTAGTGTAAGGACGTTCAATCTGTCCATTTTTTCTTTGGTAGATCACATGGGATCTTAGTGGGTTTTGCTCACCCCAGGGTTGGAGAGATTTTCCTGTGTGTGTGTGTGTTTTTTCTGGGAGGGGGTGGGTACTGGGGATTGAACTCAGGGGCACTCGACCACTGAGCCCCACCCCCAGCCCTATTTTGTATTTCATTTAGAGACAGGGTCTCACTGAGGTGCTTAGGGCCTTGCTTTTGCTGAGGCTGGCTTTGAACTCGCGATCCTCCTGTCTCAGCCTCCGAGCCTCTGAGATTACAGATGTGTGCCACTGTGCTCAGTTCCTGTGGGTTTTCTTTCTGCAGAGGTTGTGGTTTAGGGAGGGACATCCAGCCTGAGGTTTGTTTTTGTAGAGGCTGCCTGTTTTTACACCTGGATGTATGTCCAGCACCATTTCCTGGAAAGACTTTCCTCTCCTTAAATCCCTTCTGCACCTTGGTGAAGAACCCACCGGCCTCGTGCCTGAGCACCTCCTCTGGCATCTCTTCTGATCCACTCTGTGGGCTCCTCCTTTCTCCACAGCCTGCTGCCTTGAAACCACACAGCGTGAACCTCTAACTTTGGTCTTCTTTTTTCAGAAAGTTATTTTCTCATTTCTTTGCTTTTCTTCATATACATTTTAGAATCGGTTCATTGACTGCGACAAAAATTGCTATTGGATTTCTGACTGGGATTGTGCTAAGTCCGTAGCTAGATCTGGGGAGAAGCAACACCTTACAACACTGAGTCTTCCAATCCACGAACATGGTCTTCTCTTCATTTATTTGGATCTTTTGAATTTGTTCATCAGTATTTTGTAAGTTTCTTACCTTTATTTTATTTTTTTAAATTTTATTTTATTTTTATGTGGTGCTGAGGATGGCACCCAGTGCCTCACACGTGCCAGGTGAGCACTGAGCCCCAGCCCCAGCTCGGTATTTTGTAATTTTTATCATGCAAATAACACACATATCGGGTCGGATTTCTTCCTGAATGTTGTAATTTTTTGGTGCTAGTATAAATTTTGCTGTTGTTCATATTTAAATTTCCCATTTTTCATTGCTAATACAGAGAAATAATTCACCAATAGTGGTACGCAAAAAAACATACCAATGAATATATCTAGTTAGTTGATTTCTGAAATTAGACATAGGGCTCTTTTGATTCCATCATTTCTCAATTAAAAAAGATGTTGATTCTACTATGTCAATACAGTATTTAAGTAATTCATTTTTCCTGTTGTACTTTTAGTGCTTTTGGACCAACTTTCAAAAGTTTATAAAAATTGCCTTAAAATAATTGGATTATGAGGCCTTTTTATTTTTCCACACAGCATAATTGTGGTGGGCAGTCACCATCTGCTCTTTGGGTAATTTAATTTTTGCTCTTGGACTGCTATGTTGATGTCCCCTGTCTGTCCGGGTGACCTCCAGACCTCCCCTAGGCGGCTTGCCTCTGTCCATCTAGTCTTCCCTCTCTACCCCAGGATGACCATGACTTTATAATTCGATTAATTTTATTATATTTAGAGAAGTAGAATCTTAGAGTTGAGGAAATTCTGTAAATTAATCCAAGGCTTTCTTCTTTTAAACTTGGAGAAAAAAAAAAAGTACTCCCGCGAGAGAAACTAGAGGCGCATTTTGTGAATTTGTCCACGTGGGACGTCAACGCGCAAGGTCAGCTGTGAAACGCTGCGGGCTCAGAGCTGAGCCACAGCCTGTGCCGCGGTGCCGTGTCCCCCCTGTCCCCGTGAGGCGGCGCTTGAGGTGCTGCAGGTGGGGGGTTCCTGGAGATTGGAGACTGGTGCTCGCGCTCAGCCGGCTGCAAACCACAGACTGCAGAGAAACAGAGGGACCCCAGACAGCTGTGCGCCTGAGGAGGAGCCGTGCCAACCCCGGCTCCAGGGTGGTGGAAACGCCGAGCACCCCTAGACACCTGACTGTGATCCACTACACCCCAGCAAAGCCAAGTTGACAGCAGTCACATCTGTCATTCATCACATGCAGTCTCATTGCTCACAGTCAGAGGTCGGTTGTTTTTCACTAGCACGACAACTCTTTTCCCAATCATTGTGTAGGCCTGAGCCATTAGTCATTTTTATGATTGCACCTTTCTGACTGTGCCTTTGTATTCTGATGTAGTTTCAAACCCACAGGTAGCCAAGTGGCCAGCGCAAGGGTGCTGGACCCCGGGAGCGCCTCACACCAGCACCCCCTCCCCACTTCGCTTCCTGCGATTTATCTGTTCTTAACATTCTCTCTGAATCTCTTGGGGTATCTTGGGGACACCACAACCTCCTGACCACTATGTATTTAAGTCTGTATTTCTGTCTGTCTTTTTTCCTACTGGGGATTGAACTCAGGGGCCCTCGACCACCGAGCCACGTCCCCAGCCCTCTTTATATTTTCGAGACAGGGTCTCACTGGGCTGCTTAGGGCCTCACTGTTGCTGAGGCTGGCTTGGAACTTGCCTGAGCCACTGGGATGACAGATGTGCACCACCAGGCTCAGCTAAGTCTGTATTTCCTAAGAACAAGGTCATTGTCTTAGACGACCACAGTAGTGTTCAAAATCAGGAAATGAGACGCTGCTTTCTGACCCAGGGTCCGTCCCAGAGGTGGTCTCCAGTGCCACTGCTCCCTGCCATTTTCCGGGTCCAGGATCATGCCTGCACGTAGTCCTGAGTCTTCAGACTTGTTGGGTCTCTTGACCAGCCTTTGTCAACGGCGCTGTTCTGCCAACCATCTCTGTACGCGGTTTGCTTCTCGGTGACACACGGGGGTGTTCCCAGTGACATGCTGGCTGTTCCTGGTGACACACTGGCTGTTCCCTGTGTCGCTCAGCTCGCAGGCTCAGTGTTGGTGATTGTCGGTTCTGGACATTTCCTTCAGGTGGGTTTTGAGTGCTCATTGTGACTTTGCACATTTTGCAGGATTTAATTCTGACATCACATAACTGTATTTTGTTCCTCATCAGACTTTCCCTGTCCCCTATGGGCACCCACAGGTGGTCTGACTGCGTCCTCTCTTCTGATTTTGGGGTGTGGTTTGGCTGTAAGAAGCAGCTTTCCCGACTCCTTAATTCAGGGAATGGGTCGTAACCCGGCTCCCATCCTCTACTTTATCACTCTGATTGTCATTGTTCCTCCGTGTGGGGCTCCCTGCCGTGCCTCAGCGCCAGCCCCGTCCTCTGGTTGTCCTGGTTTGGTCTGGGAGGAGCCCTCAGGCTGGCTCTTGTGCCTGCGGGTGCTTTCCTGTGATCTGAGTGACTTCTTTGGGGCACCCTGTGTCGGCCCCTTCTTCCCTCCTGGCTGTCGGCTCTCCCTCCCGGTCCCCTGGACGGAGAATGGCGTGTAGAGACCTGGGTGTTCAGAAGCTCTTGGTCACTGGAGTCATTGCCTGTGACTGTGTCATTTCTTCTCTGTCCTTTAGTGGAGATAGCAAAGGAGTGTGTTTGTGCGTATCTGTCCTTCTGTCGGTCCATCTGTCCACCCTGCTTACAGCAGTATGTTCACACAGATGCTCCAGCAAGCCTCCTGGTCCCTCCCCTTGTCCTCTGTCCTCCAAGTGGGCCCCAGCAGAGTGGCGTCAGAAGCGTGGCCTCCTGGCACTGCAACCCACTGGCTGGAGGTCACATGGGTTCCATTCTTTTCAAAGGGGATTGGCGCACAGTGTCACCCACAGTTTAACTGTGATAAATACGTCAACCCCAGAGACCCCTCCCCTCTGGGAAGACAGAAGATTTTCACCCCCCAAAAGTTCCCTCGCGCCGCCTCTCAGGTAGCTCTCAGGGCCGAGAATCTTCCTGACTTCTTAAACTGCAGCTTTCCTGCTCCGGCATTTTGTACGGAGGGAACTGACAGTGTGCTTCCCTTGATGTGGGGCACACTCGCCCGGCGGGGTGTCTGGCACACACTTACTCTGAGGGCTGGTTTGCCGCGTGGGTGTGGCTGGTTTGAGCGGTACCCAGGTCGCTGGTGAAGCACTGGTCTAGGTGTGTCCGTGACTTTGCGTCTGGAGATCAGCGTCTGAAAGTGGACTGAGTGAAGAGATTGCGGTCACCACTGTGGGTGGGCACCAGGCCATCCACTGTGCGTCTGCTGGACTGGCACAGGTGAAGCCAGGGCAGACTCTGTCTCCTGAGCAGGTGTCCACCTCCTGCTGTCCTTGGACATCGGAACTCCTGGTTCTCAGGCCTTGGGACCCCAGGATATGACCAGCAGGCACATCCTGGGTCTCAGCCCACCAGACACAGACTGTCCCCCACTGAGGCCCTGCTTTTCCCACCTGCGGACAGCTCGTCCAGGGACTTCCCGGGCTCCAGGATGCTCAAGTGGATTCCTGTGTCGTCTCCTCCTGTGTCTGGAGGTGTGGGCACGTGTCTGTGTGGCCTGCTTCTGGGGACCCCTGGCTGCCAGGCCCAAGCTTCTGGGTCATTTATCTGATTGCTGGATAGTTTTCCATTTTGTGAAAATACCGCACCTTATTTTCCTATCTATAGAATTTGGACCATTTTAAATAAATTATGAATAAGATGCTATGGAGATTCATGCACAAGGCCACCCAGAAACATGTTTCCAGGTAAATACCTAATAGAGGAATCACTGGGTTCTGGGTTGTGTTTGACTTTGTAAGAAGCTTTTGATTATTTTCCCAGCCTGTTCAGAAGCTGCATTAGAGTTGTCCAAAAATATAGAACCACACCGTGTGTGTGTGTATTTAATCCAAAGAACTGGCTCACGTGACCATGGAGACTGGCAGTCTGAATCCACAGCGAGGCCAGCAGGCTGGAGGCCAGGGGAACAAGGGAGTCTGAAGGCGCCTGGTGGGGATGCCCCTGGCCAGGGGATCCTGGACCTTCTGTTCTCTTCAGGCCTTCAACTGATTGGATGCGGCCCACCCCTACCTGAGCCATCTGCTTACCTAAAGTTTACTGATTTAAATGCTAATGTCGTCCCCAAACACCCTCCATGTTAAAATCGACCACTACAAGTCTACTTGAGTCAACTTGGCACTCCCCTGCATCTCTTTATACCATAATTAGCATCAAATAAAGACTAAGACAAGGTCACCTGTCTGCCTGAGGGACATATAATGATGCTTCCTACACCTGAGAGCACTGAGTCCTTTGCTCTTGTTTTAGTCACCTTTTTCGCTACTGTGACTGAAGGACCCAACCCACACAATTGTAGGGAGAAGAGGTTTATTCAGAGGCTCACGGTTTCAGAGGTCTCTGTCCCTAGGAGGCCGTTCCATTGCTCAGGGCTGGAGGTGAGGCAGAACATCACGGAGAAGGGTGTGGCGGAGGAAGCAGCTCACAGGAGATGAGAAGCAGAGTGGGGGGGGTCACTGGCCAGGTACAGCTATGTACCCCAAGGCCACGCCCCAACCCCACCTCCTCCAGCCACACCCCACCGGCCTCCGGTCACCCCTCAGTCAGTCCCATGGGGCTTGGTTCCCTGATGGGGTGGAGGCCACCTATGTCCCCTCATCTCTCCTCTGAACCTTCTTGCTGTCTTACCATGAGCTTCGGGGGCCACCTCATCTAAGCCGTCACAGCCGCAAGAGGAAGTGAGGGCCTCACAGGGTCTTTCCTGCCCTCCCTGCCCTCCTGAAACCCAGCTGCCGCGGTGGGAAGTCCCACCACTCACACTCCCGACCGCGTGTCCCTGCACGCCACGGTGATGACGGGCGGCTTCTGCAGCCGGTGCGTGGTCACAGCTGCTCTGCACGCTGCGGCCTCCTCACCTGCCCTGCCCTGCCCTGCTCCCTGGGCCACCAGCCAGCACCTCGGGGGGACCTTCACGGTGGGGGGGGGCAACCCTGCACTCCCGGAGCTCTGCCCCTAGCGCTTCTGCATGCGTTGGGTGGCAGCTCCCGCTGGCTTTCATCACGGGCCACCAAGACCCTCCCTCCTGCCACGCTCTCTGGAGGAGGAAATGTCACCGCTCCATCTCTCCCCATAGGGTGCTCAGCCTCTGCCCAGTTCTTGTTGGATGGTTTCTCTTTTAAAAATCAACTTGCAGGGGTCTTGTTTGTCTGAATGTCTGTAAATAAGGCCATTTTCTGACGTAGGTTTGGCTGGTCCCTTCTCAGAGTCATTTGATGAGAAGTTCTAAATCACGGTAGCGTGTGAGTCATCATTTCTGTTTGTACCCTGCCTAAGAAACCCTGGGCATCGATATTTCTGGTGAAGATATTCTTTTATTTATCTTTATTTGGTGCTGAGGATTGAACCTAGGGCCTCACACATGGTAGGTGAACCTCTACCACTGAGCCACAACCCCAGCCCTTTTTATTATTTTTTTTAGAGAGAGAGAGAGAATTTTAATATTTATTTTTTAGTTTTCGGCGGACACAACATCTTTGTTTGTATGTGGTGCTGAGGATCGAACCCGGGCCGCACGCATGCCAGGCGAGCGCGCTACCGCTTGAGCCACATCCCCAGCCCTGGTGAAGATATTCTCAATGTGGCCTGAGACATTATAATTTTTGCCTTTTATACTTTGTTTCACGATCATTCTTAATTTGATTTTGAGGGGTGCCGGGGAGTGAACTCAGGGGCACTTGACCACTGTGCTACATCCCAGCTCTATTTTGTGTTTTATTTAGAGACAGGGTCTCACTGAGTTGCTCAGGGCCTCACTTTGGCTGAGGCTGGCTTTGAACTTGGAATCCTCCACCTCAGCTTCCTGAGCTGCTGGGATCATAGGTGTGCACCACCTTGTGCAGCCTTAATTTAATTCTTTATGAGGAGTGAAGTGACAGTTCCTTTCACTTCACCTCCCACCCCAATTTTGATATGTTTTTCCAGCACCGTTTGTTAATCAGACTTGAACTGACTCTATGAATATGGGTGTGTCCCAGACTCCCTGTTCTGTTTCTTGATCTCGTCCGACACCAGTGTCACCCCCATGCTGACTCTAGGATGTCCAGTGAGTCTTGAAATCAGAGCCTGTCACTGAACCCCGCTCTTCTCTCCCAGGATGTTCTAGGTACTCAATCACGTCTGCATTTCCATATAAATTTTAGAATCAGCCTGTTACTGTCTTTAAACATCCTCCTGGGGCTATGATTGGAATGGCATTGAGTCCACAGATCAACGTAGAGATAATTAACATGCAAGCAATACTGACGTCTTCTGATTTTTGAATGAGTATATGCTTCCATTTATTTAGATTTTTAATTTCAGTAATATTTTGTGGTTTTTAGCCTAATGGATTTTACATGTCTCTCGTTTATTTATCTTTAGGTATTGAGGGGTTTTTGGTATTACTGTGAATGGAGGCCCTTCTGATCCCATTTTAAAATCATGTGCTGTGTGTAGAAATTTCACTGAGTCTTATCTCATGACCTTATATCTTGTGGCATCTTCTAACACATATATATTCTAGTAGTTTCTCTGTGGTAGGATTTGCCACGTAGGTAACCAGGCTGACTGTGAATGGAATCCATTTGAACCTTCCTTTCCAATGCGCATGACCTTTATTTTATTTTCACACCTTATTGCACTGGCTAAACCGCAAGTGTGACATGGAGCAGAAGGTGTGAGGCTGTACGTTCCAGCCTCTGCTAAGCTGGCTGGGTTGTCTTCATTTCACAGCTTGGGAAGTCCTCACAGACTCTTGTATCTGAAATGCCTCTTCCTTTTTCATCATATACCCCAGTGTCATATATAATTTCTCTTTATTATTTTAACAGTCACATGTGCTGTGTGGGTCTTACACTGACCTAAAACCCCTGGAGGAGGGAATGCCACCTGTCTTCCCCACTGCACCTTCAGTGCACGACATGAGGCTCCTAGGTGACACTCTGCAAATCTTTTGTAGGATCAGTCCACACTAGTAAGGTATTTTAGAGGTTATGCAATTGATTCTCCTTCCCAGTGTTTTAACCTCCTTGGCCAAAATGAGGGGAGTGGTATTTCTTGCAAAGTGTTTCCATATTTCTCTTTCACCCTTTATAATTTTTGGAGGTCAAATTTCAAAAATTTTCATAGAAACCACGTGTGTCTATCTATTGCTTTCATTGATTATTTTATTAAAAGTATTGCAATTATTGGGATTAATTCTTGTAAAATACGGTAGTGGCAGATTGGAATGGATTGCCCTTCTGGGTATTAGAGTCCACACTAAGAAGTTAACTAATGTTCAGGAAGTGAGTGTTCAGGATTGGGAAATCACAGCGCCTCAAGTACAGAGACAGGTAAATGCATCCCACAGTTATTCAGTGGGCAGGTGGTGAGGCCCTATTTTTATTATTTCAAATGTGGAGAAATGAGCGCTGGTAACGTGGCTCAGTGGTAGTGATCCCCTTGTATGTGTAAGGCCCCGGTTCAGTCTCCAGCACCACAATAAATAAAATAAACAAAAGATGGAGAAATTGCAATGATGACGTGAACTTGTTAGGCAGAGTATTTCCTTTTTGTGTTTTGAGACAGGGTCTTACAAATATATTTTGTGAAAGAAGGGCTGGGGTAAAGCTGGACCTGGGTTTAACCTCCTTATTGGAAAAAGAAGAAGGAGAGAAAGGAGGGAGGGAGGGAGGGAGGGAGGGGAGCGGGAGGAGGGACAGATTCCCTTACTTTTGCCCTTTGCCCTCTGGTGTGGGCTCTGAGCTGAGTGGTGCTTCCTGCTTCCTGGGGATTCAGAGCTGGGGAGGCAACTTGCTTTAGCCTGGAGCAGGAGCTCTGGGATCCACTCCCTCTTCTTGCTGCTTCATTGTAAGAGCCCTGCTCACTGGGCTGGTAGAGTGTAGACGCAGGAACACCACTAGTTCCTAGCAGTAGTCACGGCAACGCCTTGGGTCATTCTGCACCTCGGCCATGGAGACTGTGTGACAGGAGCAGGTGGAAACATTGAACCTGAGGGTCCCTCACCTCATTCCGCTCCCTCCTTCCCTGGGGGCCTTTCTTTTCTGCCCCCCCACCCCCGCCTCCTCCTGCTAATGCCCCTCCTCCCCCCCTCCCCCCTTCCTTCCTTTTTTCCATTAGATTGTTCCTCTGTAGTGGGAGGTGACAGAGGGAAGTGACCAGAGGCTTGTGGTCGCTTTTGGTGGTCACAAGTGCTGTCCACCAAGTGTGCTGTGCAGTATGTGTGTGTGTGTGTGTGTGTGTGTGTGTGAGAGAGAGAGAGAGAGAGAGAGAGAGAGAGAGAGAGAGGGAGAGGGAGAGAGAGGGAGAGAACTGATATAGAGGCCCCTTAAGGGAAAGGAGTGTCCGTGATATCCGTGTTCAGGATGCAGAGAAGACTCCTCCCTGAGCTGGGGACAGCAGGGAAGAAGCCCTGAGGAGGCAGAGAGGGAGCCAGCTTCCTGACAGGTTGGAGAGGACAGTCACCCCCAGGTTCCAAAGGCACCACAGGCTGTGGCCCAGGGGGTGGTCTCTTTTTTTTTTGTCATTTAAATGTTTTGTAAACATCTGCATTTGGATATGTTCAACATATCCGAGTCCAAATTCTCATTTTAGTTTTCCCAAAGTAGAAGAAAAGTTACACAAACAGAAATGGAGACTAAGGACAGAAGGTGAGCAAACCCTCAGGGGCACGTGGAGACACTTTGCTGAAGATGGATAAACGAGTACCGGCCACTGCCCAGTGGTTCAGGGGGTTCTGCTTATTATCTTCCTATTCCTATTAAGGAAGCACTGCATCCCCCGAGGGCAGAATACACTGTTTCAAGAAGTGCCAAGGGCATTCATCTGCACAGACCAAGTTTGGGGCCCAGATCAAATTTCAGTAAATTCAAAAGTGAGATCACACTGTGTTCTCTGGCCACAACCAGGTTACGCAGTAACCACTGTGTGGAAGACACCTGAGGAGTACCCCATTATACTTGGAAATTAAGCAGCCTGCTTCAGAATGACCCAGGAGTCAAAGAAGAAATGACGAGGGACATTAGAAATGAGTATGAAATGAATGAAAATGAAAAGACAGCCATCACCCTTACTTACGATCACTTACAGAGTCCCCTCCGAGCCTGGTGTCCCTCCTGTGTCCTGCCCCCCCTGCCCAGGCACTGAGGGTCCTGCAGAGGTGAGCCTGGCCGTGCTCCCAGGGCCTGCGCCGTCCTGGCCCTCAGAGGCCTGGCCTGGCCATTTAGCGGGGCAGATTCAGCCTTTTTCTTCAGTTCTCGCGCACTTACCATCCTCAAGGTCCTGTTCCTACACTACGGAGGGGAATTTGTGGGGCAGGACGCACAGGCGCAGATCCTACACCCGCAGGCCCCTGTCCATGAACACGGCATCAAAGCCGCTCCTTGGTCCGTCTTACCTGGGGAGGAACATTTGCCCACCTCCTCCCGACCTTTTGGACTTTCTATGAGTCTTTGGTTCCTTCTGGGGCTGCCGTTTCTGTGAACAGCCCTTCCGTCCCTTGGGCTTTCCGGAGTTTGCTGGTCTCAGTGGCTCTCCATGGCCTGGTGTTGCTTGTCCCGTCCGAGTGCATTCCCCCTGTCGAGGCTGGAGGTGCAGGTGTGCAGGGTGGGTCAGAGAGGTGCCTAGAGAGTGGTGGACACATGTGGGCGGAGTCATGGAAACAGATATCCACTCAGCACACACTTGCTGACCTCCTGTGCGGTGGACACTGTGCGGCAGGTGGCATCTGACTCGTCAGAGCCGATTTCAGAGCAGAGGTGGCTCTTGGGTGTGCTGTGAGGTCTGAGCAGTTGTCCTCTAGCCAGAGGAGGACACAGGGTCCTGCCTCTCAAGGTGAGGCAAGGCTCCTGAAGGAGCAGCCAAGGAAGGAGGAGGACCCGGACCTCTCCCACCAGGGGTCGGGGCGGGTGGAGGCACGGGGTGGGCAGCAGGAGGACGGGTGGGCAAGGCCACCGCCTCTGTCTCCTGACAGGGCTTTGTCCTGTTTCTGTGGGCGTCACCTCTCAGCCCCATGATGACTCTCACCTGCACTTCTGCTGCCCGCACCTGCCGTCTGTCTGTCCTCCCTGTTACTGGCTGCAGTGACCAGGGGCCCAGTGGTGTCCTCCCTAGCCTGCGCGTGGTGCATATTGAGACAGCGGGTGGCGGGGTGTGAGCAGGGAAGGCACCAGGCAGCCAGTGTGCTGGGCTCCCACCTGGAGCACGTCCCTCCGGGAGCCATCAGCCCCATGAACTCCTTGTTTTTTTGTTTTTTTTTTTTTTTTAAGGCAGGGGAGGAAGAGGTTGAGAGATAAACTCAGTAGTTTGGAGACACCCTCTGGGGTAAGATTTCGAATTGTTCCCCACCCTGAATATTTTTATTCTTTTCCTTTAGGTTTCTTGCTATTTAAAGATTTTTGTTTGAATGAAATTAATGAAGCTGTCCCTCAGGTGAAGTTTTATGAAGAGGTAAGAAGTGACCGTTTTACTGATGCTTTTACTTCAAAAGCATATTTCAACTGTACTTTGGAAAGTCTTGCCATGCTGACACCTCACACACGCAGAGATCCAGGAAAGCAGCGGGCCGGGCAGGGCCTGGGGTTCACCAGAGACGCCGAGGACACCTGGAAGAGCCGGGCCTGTTCCTTCAGGCTCTCGAGCACCAGGGGGCAGAGAACAGCTGGACCCGAGTCCCCGAGAAGCAGGCTCCTCTAGAGGTGCTGGGGTATCAGCCCTGGAGGTTTTGGGGGAGCTGATTTTGGAGCTCTGAGCAGAGGCAGAGGGCTCCGAACTGGAGTAACAAACCAGGGACTTGGTGGGACTTGGGACAGTCCTCAAACACACAGCTGGTTCCCCCACAAAGGCTGGGTCACATGTGAGCCTGCAGGGGACTGAGGGGAGAGGGCAGAAGTTTCTGGAAGCACATTGAAAAGGCACTCAGCCTTACAGAGCTTAGGACGTTCTCGCCTGCGGAGGGGGGAGCTGAACACAGAACAGGCAAGAGGAGGACCGGGAGGAGAGGCCTGTGGGTCGGCTCTTGGCTTGGGGTGCAGCGGGCAGGTGAGGGTTCAGCCCTGGCTCCTGGTGGCAGGAGGTTGCTTCTGGGAGGCGGGCCAGGAGCGGTTTCTGGCTGGACTGACAACCACGTGAGACGGGAGGACCCCAAGCCCAGGCTGAGTCTCCCTCCCAAGACATCCCTGAGGGTTGGAGGCCCAGAGCTGAGCTGGGAACTTCTGCAGGGAGAAGCTGACTCTAGTGCTGAGGAGGCAGAATGCCCTGCTGAGGCCCACGGTGGGCCATGCCCGGGGAAGGGGTCCACCCAGGGGCAGGCGGGCTCCACAAAGATGGTGACCCAGACCCCCCCCAGCTGGGTCGTATGATGGCTGATGAGCCTCTCCCCCACCCCAGGAAGAGCCCAAGAGGACCTCTGTCTTTATGTGCAGATGTAAGATGACGACATATAAAGATGTCACAGTGTCCAGGAAACAGGAAGATCATAGACACACTAAGAGGAGAGACCAGGAGAAGCAGACCCCCAGATGGCGGGGCACTAGGGCCAACTGACAGGCACTTCAGAATTCCTGTGAATAAGATGGTCCAGAAATAGAGGACAAGACGGGCAGTGGGGGTGGAGGGCTGTTTAATTTCAGCACAATGTGAATTTATTATGAAGAATCAAATGGCCGTTCTCAGACAGAAAGGACAGTGTTGAAGTTAGAACTTAACGTCGGGGTTCAGCAGCGGGGACGTTACACACACGATACGACCCGTCGACAGGAAGCAGGTCAGCAGGTGACCACACCGAGCAAAGCCGAGAGAGAAAGGTAACAGAAAAAAGAAATAGGTAAGACCATTAGAGCCAGGTGGGCCCTGTTTCAAGGCCTGCTTCAGGTGGAATCGCAGTTCCGGAAAGAAGAGAACAGGCAGAAGCGGTGGCTGAAGAGTAAGGTCACAGCTCTCCGTCTCCTTTCCCTTACTATAAATGGACAAACCCCCCGAGGTAGACCTGCTTTCAGACGGATGAAGAAACGAAATTCTATCATACACAGTTTATAAGAAAAACACTAACAACACTAAGATAATTCTGACAGTTTTACTAAAGGATACAAAGCAGCTTCTTACAGTTAAAACAAACAAACAAAAAAACACCTTAGAGCCGGGTGTGGCGGGTGGCACAGGCTTGTCATCCCACTGGGTCGGGAGGCTGAGGCAGGAGGATCCTGAGTTCCAAGCCAGACTCAGCCAAGGCAAGGCCCTTAGCAGCTCAGTGAGACCCTGTCTGTAAATAAAATACAAAATAGGGCTGGGGGTGGGGCTCAGGGGTCGAGGGACCCTGGGTTCAATCACTGGTACCCCCTCCCCCCAAAAAAACAACTTAGGAAACGCTAAGCAGAATCAATTACAAAGGAGATGTATCTTTACACACCATTTTAAGGCCATGAACATTTATCCAGAGAAAAATCTTAAAAGCAACCCAAGCCCAGAGCAAGGAAGAAACATGTTACTTTTAAGTCTCAAGTTTTCAGTTTTGTGAATAGTGTAACAAAATTGACACAGGTGCAATAAATCAAATAGGTTGGAAATCATAATCTAGAGCTCCTCTATATATGAGTTGTTATTTTCTAATTATATTCTTATTTTAATGACATCATCTATTACATAGTGGGAATTTTTTCAGCTGTGCCCACCTAGGCCAACATGGGTGAGGAGAAATAACTGTAAAACCACCAAAGCCAGCCCAGTGATCAACCTAGAATCTACAGCCAGCAAAAATCTCCTTTAAAAGTGAAAGTGAAATAAAAATATGTTCAATAAATAAAACCTGAGGGGATGGGTCGGCGGGGGCCTGCATTAGCAAGCACCCTGAAGACAGGAACTGGGGGCAGGAGGGAGGTGAACCTGGTGGCTCTGGAGGGAGGAGCAGGGGGCACACGAGGGTGAACACATCAGTAAACACGAATGAGCTGACTGCCGAACAGTGGCTCCCCTCCCCAGAGTGAAAATGTACACGTGACCAAAATGACTGTCACACCAAAGGCAGGAGAGGTGCATGACGTTGAAGTGTCTTAAGGTTCTGAGATGGTTGAGGGGTAGTCAAATGAGGGTTAGCGTTGGACTGACCAGTCCAGGGTGGGGATTGTAATCACTAGGGTAACTGCTAAGAAAAACAAAGTGTGGACATCTAACAGTTAAAAGAGAAAAATGGAACAAAACGACCGATTAATCAAGAAAGGTAATAAAGGAATTCAAGGGGGACATAAAAATAGGTTAAACTGAAAACGAAGCAGAGTAAGATCGTAGCTGTAAATGCATTTAATGTAAATGAACCAGAATCTCCAAGTAAAAGACTTGAGGTTTCGGAATGGATAAAGAAGCAAAACCCTGTCATATCCCATTTATAAGAAAAATATTTTTTTTAAAGAGAGAGAGAGAATTTTTTAATATTTATTTTTTAGTTTTCGGCGGACACAGCATCTTTGTTTGTATGTGGCACTGAGGATCGAACCCGGGCCACACACATGCCGGGCGAGTGCGCTACCGCTTGAGCCACATCCCCAGCCCAAGAAAAATATTTTAACAGAAGGAGGAAGAGGGTCTATAATACACCCACCAACCAAACCTAATTGGTATTAGGTTGTTAGACAAGCTACACAGTAATGCTACTTGAGATGGAGAGTGGGGTTTATAAAGGATAAAGGATTCAACCCAATAAGTATTGAGTCTTAAGTCAGTATGTTGCAAACAACATAAGTTCTAAGTACATAAAGCAAAAATAGATTTAAAAAAAAACAGGACAAATCTACCACCCTAATGGAAGATATTAATACACTCCCTGCTTACAGAACAAACAAAATAACTGATAAGGATATAGAATATGTTGAGTTGATGGACATATGTAGATGCCGAATCCAGCAAAAATAGAATTCTCCATCTTTGAAGTACACACAGAACATTTATCAAAATAGATCATGTTCTGGCCCCTAAAGGGAGTGCCTACAGATTTCAAGATTGAAATTGCTCAGTTTCTTTTCTGAGCACAATAGGTTTAAGCTCAAATCAAATAACTAGGAAGTCCTTAACTGCTTGGAAATTAATAGACCTCCAAGTAATTATAGGTCAAAGGAGAAACTAAAATTGAAATTAGGAAATATTTTAAACTAAAATATATTTAAGAAATGACATAAGGTATTATTATTAACACCATTATTTTATTTTGCTTTAAAAAGCATTTTAAACGATCCAATGAAAATGTAGCATAATTAGGGCTGATACTAGTAACCTTTGTACGAATTTGAAAATTGGAGAAAAATTCCTGTCTTTTTGGCTTTTCATCTGTATGTGAAAGTGTCATAGTTCCCACTTTAAAAAAATTATATCAGTGTATTTTCAGGAAGAATCATGAAATCATGATGAATATTAGCCGGCGTGTAAAAAGAGTAAGCTAAATCTAAAAAGGTTTTATTGGGTCTAAAGTAACGTTATCTGAACAATAATCAGGAGTTTTATCTGAATAAGTCTCATGCTTCATCTGTCAATTTTTTCCCCTTTTTGTGTTCCTGAAAGCGCCAACTGTGCACTTGAACGGTACTGCACCCCCTGGGCCAGGCGGTGGACCTCCTTTAGCAGATGACCTCCGCTGGGGTGAAACGCTGCGGGCAGTCTCCTGCTGTTGTGGCTGAAGCGTCTTTGCAAACTCAGTGGCGGCCGCTGTTGACGTGTTTAGGGTGGACTTTAAGCACTGGTGTTTCTCTTTGCTGACCACCTCTCCTCGCCCCTCTTCTGGCTGGACACAGTCTGGGTCAGGCTCCTCAGAGGATGTCCTAGGGGGATGCTCCAAGCCCCCAGCTCGTATTCTTACTGGATACCGTCCACCCAGGGGCTCAGGTCCCATCCTCTACACCACTGCGGCCTTTGAACACTGAGGCGTTCAGAAGTGTTTTTCCGCCACCCGCTGGTTTTATTCGTCTAATATAGCCATCTTTAATTTCCGCATGCTTTTTGACCCCAGTTCTTAGAAAATTCTGTTGTGGTGTCTGAGGCTGCATTTCCGACCTTACCTTTCTACTTTGCAGCGTCCCCAGACCTTTAATAGCTACCCACTTCCTGTGGGTGACAGTCCCAGCGGCTCATCCTGGCACCTGACAAGGGTGCCCACGGCTGCATTCTTGTTAGCCACCTCCCCCCTTCTCTCCGCCTTCCTAGCTAGAGCTTGCACTCTGGCCGGTCCAGGCCGCTGTCACGTTGGCCACTTCTCTGGTCGGTTCCCACCTGGAGGGCCCCATCTCCTTCCTGGCTTGGGGACGCCTTGCGTCTTTGGAGGTTGGTTCAGGACGGATGGCCTCACGTGCTCCTGGAGCCCTCACCAGCCCCAGGGTGGCGCGCTCCTGTGAGCCACGCGGGCCGTCTGTGGTGTCCCTGGCGCCCCTGTTCCGTGCGTGCCTTCGGTGTTTCCATCTCCACCTGGATGG